ATATATATATATATATATATATACATATATACCAACTTTAAAATTTTATGATTGTGACGAAACTACAAAATGCCACGTTATATTTGAAACATTTTTTTGTCAAAGAGATTATGATTCAATTCGGCTCTTAGTATATAATACTTGATGATCAATATGTTGAACTTTATACTTAATGACCTATATGTTGAACTTTAACATGACAAGTAAATAAATTTAGTCTATACTAGTTTGGACGACCGACCCAATCAAGAGGACTGAGAAGGCTGACCTAGTTCAACTGACCGAACTAATCCCGTAGGCCCAAAGCCAATTAAGCTTAGCTTGTTGAGCTAGAAAGCAGTTGGATGACAAGCTCAGATATGCAAAATACCAGAGTACCCCAGTATTAATCCCATTAAAGTATAGGCAAAAATATAATAATATTATCATTTATTATCTTCTCTATAAATAAGAGAATCATTTAAGAATACGACACGATTGATCACTATTCATTATCTCTCTATATACTTACATACTTGCAATCTATGTTTCAAGAACAAGTCATTATATCATAAACTCTTATCATAAATTTAAACTTTTCAAATAAAAATAAGTTCACCATTGGTGAAGTCTACATGGACAATCTATGCTCGGCCGAAGCTAAAATAGCATGGCTTTCATAACCATAACTTAATTAATTTTTAATTAAATTTAATGACCAGTTAATAGAAATTCTGAATCTTTAGTTTATTTGATTATATTATAGTATGCTATCCACCAACGTTTTATAACCATCGTCTGTATATATATATATATATATATATATATATATGATTTATACATGATTATTCAAAAAAATAAAAAAAATCTACTGCATTTGGCACCGCCGATAGATTTCCTCGGGCTGGCTTATCCACGTCTATGCACCCTTAAGTGAAAAACGGGTCCCACTTCCTGCGGACATTGACGCATCATTGGCACCTATTATAAAAAAGTGGGCTCCACCACATCGTCGTCCGAGAATCCTTTCTCGGGAAAGCTGATCGACGAGTAAAAAAAAAAAAAAACCCAAACTCTTATTTCCGGTTCTTCTCCCCTTCCATGCACACTCGATTCTCTCACCTCTGCAGCTTTTCTCCGACCTCCGGCGACTCCCTCGCCGGCGGCGAACTCGCCGGATATCTTCATCCCGGTACTTGATGTTCTTCTTCGATCTTTTCCTTTGCGTAATCAATCCTGAATCGCGGATCTCTGCTTTAATTCTTATGGTTTTGCTTAAGATCAGTTTTAAGTGCTACTTTAGATGTTTAATGATCCGTAAACGATCGCTGTGCATTTTGTAATTGTTGCGTGTTTGATAATATGTTTTGATGTTGCGCGTAAGGTGTTTGTTGTTATGCCTGAGTGAGAACCCCAATGGAATGCATGAGTAGCGGCTTGTTTTAGCTGCACTTTCAGTGTTGGATTTACATACATATCAGATTTAGGGTGACTTTGGGGCGGCGGTGCGGTGTTGGTGTAGTGCCACATCTCAGTTTTTCTTGTTTGACAAAATTATGTTTTGCTTGCTTTTTCAAAAAGACTGCCCAAAAGATGTTGTCTGGCTTTTTAAAAAAAATAATAATAAAATAAAAAGGCTATTGCAATTTTTGAAAAACTTTTTTTGCAGCAGTCTCACAAATGCTTATTCAAACAACTACAATTACCTTAAATTTTTGCAGCAGTCTCACAAATGGCTAAACCTTTATATTTACTTGTATAACACTTTATTCTTTAAATGATATAAAAAATATCATGAATTTTAACTCATTGAACCTAAAATACATATTTTCATGCATATATGTAGATGTCATTCAAACATTAGGGGTATAAATTCCAGATTCTATAAATTTGATTTTTTTTAGTTTTCTTCTCATTTTTGTCTTAAATTCTGGATTTACTAAATGTTGTTGTTGGTAGGATTTAATAAGTTCAGATTTACACAATTTACCGAAACAACTAAAACCATTACTAAAATGCCCCTTAGAGTGTTATATAAAGAAATATTAGAATGATTTACATATATACCACTTAATTTCTATGTATATACATATTTAACACAAAATTTAACTTTTGGAGCATTTACGTACACAACATACAATTCTTATCTACTTACACATGTAATACCTAAGTTTTAAGCAGTTTTACATTGCAATCACCCAAAATATTAAATATAACATTTTAACCCCTTAAATTCTAAATCAAACATTTTAACCACTAAAAATTTAAAATTTAACATTTTAACCACAAAAAAGTTTCACTCAAAGCATTCATCAGTAGGTAAAGAAGGGTGTTTTGATGAAAAAAGTAGTTAAAATGTTATATTTAAAGTTTGAGTGTGGTTAAAATGTTATATTCAATTTTTTTCGTGATTAGTATATAAAACCATAAGTTTTAAGATTTACATTCATAACACTCAAATCTTTAACATCACCTCAAAAATATCTCTTTATTAACTTCTTAAAAGTGAAGTGCATCTTTTTATGCATAGGTTTGTAGTACCAAGGTGTTATGAATGTATATATCAAACTTTATGTGTAGATATGTATATCCATAAGCATTGTGTGGTTTGTATGTAAATGTTCCTTAATTTTTACATATATGTCGCCTTAATTATGCATGAAGGGTGTATTTCATTTTTTAAAAGTTAAAATAGTGGCATTTTAATGTAATTAATATGAAGGGTTTGGGTGATATAAATGTAAAAAATAGTGTTTAGGTGTTAGATATGTAAATATAGAATTTGGGCAATATGTATGTAAATCTCTTTTACTTGCTATCACTTCGTATGTCAAGGTTATTCATCTCAACCTTACCTTGTCATATATGTTTGCTTATCTTTGGTTTTTGACTTCCAATCCCAGGATTTCATGTAACAAATCGGTCTGCGAATTCAATTAAGGAAAAAAGTGTTCATTTGTGTATTGGAATCACAAGCAGGTTTGGCATATTAAATTTTTATAAATTCATATTTATATTTTTGTACTTTAGTTGTTGAAAGTTGATTCATCATTTGACAGGCGTTCGGCTTATGAAGAAAATGCTGGTCGTCGAGGAGTAGACTCGGCTTTCAATGTTGAAGGAGATGCAAGAAATAGGCAAAAAACATCCGATAAGTTCAATACGTAAGAAATTAATCAGATTTATTATATGTTGTTGCGAACAAAATGGAAGATTTACATACATTTCACTCAATTCGTATGTATTTAAATATCTAACACCTAAAATTCAATTTCTTACATACATGGCACTCTGCCTATGCATGAAAATGTGTATATCACTTTTTAGAAGTTAACATGGTCATATTTTTGATGTGATATGAAAGATTTGTGTTGTATAGATATAAAAATGTGAAGAGTAGGTGTTAGATATGTAAATATATAGGAATTGGGTGGTACGTATGTAAATGCCCCAAAAATTCTATATGTTTGAATTCCTTTGGAATTTTGATGATTTTCTTATCATACAGTTCAAGTTTATATTAAGAACTTGAATGGTTTTGGAATAGGTGCTTTCTTATGTACATGGCATGCTAAACATCCATATTCACTCTTATTTTTTCTTTGGGGCATTTACATACATACCACCCAATTCCTATTCATTTAAATATATAACACAAACTTTACTTTTACCACTCAAATCATTTATATCACATAAAAATACCATTATTTTAACTTTGGAGGATTTATATGCGTACCACTCAATTACTTTATACCTAAACTTTAATTTTTTACATACAAATCATCTTATTTATGTATGAAAAGGAGTGTCACACAAATGACGGTATCTTTTAGAGAAAGATGTCAAAATGGTCCCCTGATTATTTGTCGAGGGTCATTTTAGTCCTAGAGTCTATAAAGTGTCAGTTTAGTCCTCAGACTGTTTTAATGACTAAAATAGTTCTCTCCGAGGACTATTCTAATCCATATTAAAAAAGTATGATGGTTAATTTGACATTTGTATATATTTTTGGACTAAAATGACACATCGAGTAAATAGTCAGAAGAGTATTTTAGAAATGTGATATGAAAGACTTATGGAAGATAAATGTAAAAAAAATATTTAGGCGTTGGATATGTAGATGCATTGGAATCAAGTGGTATGTATATAAATGCCAAAAGTGAAATACACATTTTCGCGCATAAGAGGTATGCACGTAAAAATTGAAACATAGACGTTAGATTTGAAAATAGATATAAATTGACTTGTATGCATCTAAACCTTCCTTCTTCTTTATATAAGATCTTCAATATAGATAAGCTACATATGAAATCTGATATTATTATGAAAATTGCAGCATTTGAGGCTTTTTACGATGGGTCATGGCATGCAGTAGATATTTTGAGAATTAGATGGGGGAAAACCTATATAATGTTCGACCACTGGAGTTCGAAGGTAGAGAACGAAATATGTGCCGACAATATTCGTCTACGATCAAGAAAATCAAATTCTCATGATTGTTCACACCTTCTTAAAGTTGGCGTCGATGTTTGTGTACTCTCAACTCGTCCTATCTCGGGTGGTTTGGATGAACAACCACAACCGAATGTAAGTGATCACAATTCCACGCCACCCATATAAATTGTAAATTAAGAGAGTGTTTGCTATGCTACTTTTAATAGGACTTACATAATGGTTTTAAATAAATCTTGCCAAACGTCATTTCTAGGTTCGATAAATCCGACGCCGTGTTAAATCCAATATTTTCTGGTTCCATTTATTTTGTGACGTAAATCTTGATTTATGAAATCCAACTATTAATTATGTCAAACACATTGAATGGGTTTAATTATATTTAATCTTAATTGAAGCCAACATTATTTCGGGTTTAACAATAATTGGATTTGATAAATCCAAATTTACCAAATTTATTAAATTCTATTAAACTTAAATCTTATTTGCAGCCAAACACCCCCAAATAGATTATACCATTGATTGGTTCATGTTACTTTTCATCATAAATGTATGCATGAAAACAATCTTTATCTATGTTATGTTAGTTAGGGACATTTACATACATAACATTCATTTCCTATGAATTTACATGTCTAACACTTATGCTTTATTTTTTTTAACATTTATACCATGTAGATCATTCATATTGCATCACAATACCATCATTTTAACATTTAAAAAGTTAAATACACATTTTCATGCACAGGCAAGCAGGGATGTATGTCAAAGTTGATGTTTAGGCGTTAGATATGTCAATACTTATGAATTGAGTGCTATGTACGTAAATCTTTCTTTATCTTATTGCAAAGGAAATTTTGGTTTTGCACAGAAAAAAGAACTAAAATGACTTCATATTGTTTGTAAGGTGTCATTTAGTCTTAGGGTATGTTTGGGGTAGATGCAGTTACTTATAGAAAAAGTTGTGAAGCTGCTGTAGAAAAAGCTGTTGTTCAAAAAACTACGGTGGCCATTATAAATTTTTTTAGTTTTGAAAAAGTCAAACCGCATTTTTCTTGTAACCATCATACTTAGTTAGGTCAGGTTGAAAATACAACTTCTCACCATAATTTTTTGAAAAACAAGCATAGCAAAATTTTGGCAATCGCTTGAAAGTGCGGTCCAACACCATACTGTTGTCCTAAACACAATCTTAAACTATATAATGGGTTGATGTAGTTCCTAAACTCTTAAATTTAAGAGTAAAAATGATCATGTCGTTGAAAGTGATTTAAATTGAAATGACCCCTCCCAAATAGTTTATATATAGAATTTCTCTTGGAGGCATTTACATAAATAGCACGAAATTCTTATGTATTTACATATCTTAGGCCTAACTTTTATATTTACACACATAACACTTAAAATTTTATTATCATGTCAAATATAACACTATTACCACTTTTTAAAAATAAATTATACTTTTTTCATTCATATATTTGAAATGTCAAAGTGCTATATATATAATATGTAAATGCATAAGAATTGCGTGCACATTTTGAACATTCACTTTCATTATTAGCAATTGCAAGCACTATTCTAGCTCATTAGTTACAAAGCAATTATCCTCTAACTTTTGAGAAAATATTATGTCTGAATGTAGGATGTGTGGATGATGGCGTGATGTGATCTCCATCAACACAATCTCAAATTCAAATTTTTATTTATATGGGAAGACAATTTAGTCTTTTGGCCATCCTGTAATATCAATTTTGACCCTCCTGAAATCTCACTTTGGCCATCCATGTTGGATCTATGAGGGCAGTCTCTGCCCCGCCCCACCCACCAAAAAAAAAAAAGAGGCTTGTTCCGCCTCTGCCACACGGTGGAACTTAATATTTTCTCTTTTTACTTTCTGATATGTTTTGATAATTTTTGTAAAATTGCAGTTTCCCTTATGGTACGATGCAAAAATCATATCAAAAAAGACTCTTCGTCATCATGATGGCCGGTGTTCCTGCCTATTTTCCGTCATTCTCTACAGGGAAAGAGCTTTTAATGGCACTGGAAAGAACGTATTGTTCGAGAGAGCTGAAATGGTCACCATTGACAGAATCGCAATTCTTCAAAAGCTTGAAGACGAACCTCAAGAACACGAATTCGATCGCTGGAGCTTCACCGAGGACTGCATTTCCTCAGCCAGAAGTAAACTAATTGGCGGAATTTTTTCTTCTGAAATTTCATGGCTGGTTGTGCTTTCCATACAAAAGGGAATCAGTTTTGATGTGAAAGTATTACAGAGAAATATCGTTTACCAAATCCTGAACAGAAATCCTGTGACGGGCATGAAGATCATGTGCTTCCATGGATTTAACGAAACTTTGAGGCCGGTGGTAAGAAGTGTCGACCTGTTTCTTGTGAAAGAGACGGCAGCAGAAGCAGCATTGAAGGTGTTTGTCGAACCAGATTGTAACGGAGAGATGGAGGTGGATAGTGAGTCTGATGTAGAGGTTTTGTATGATTGCATGAGTCTGAGACGATCGAAGCGCCAAAAGGTTAAGCCGAGACGTTTTACGAGCTTCTACTCTCCGGATTTTGATCGCACGGCGAGGAATTCGGGGCAGATTGTAGAGATATTGGATCAAAGTCCTGATGAAAAGTCTGATTCAGTTGAAGTGGAACAACAGTTAGTGGATAATTGGGAGATTTGTCCAGCGGAAAGAAGCTCTGATGAGGATTATGAATTCTCACCAGTTTCAGATAGGAAGAAAACGTTCGATTGGAAAGTAAAAGAAGGGGAACCTCAGCTTCTACTTACAATGGGTGATGAGATTGGTGAGATTCAGCCTGGTGATTCGCCGGATAGGCTAACGCAGGATAGTTCAGAAAAACCGGCACAGAGGCCCAGGGGCAGGCCGAGAAAAAGTGATCGGAGAACTCCATTGAGAAACGGTAATCCGCTTTATAAGAAGAGATATTCTTACAGGAAGAAGCTCCTTCTCAGTGCGGCAGAGTGTGAGCTGCTGATAAAGCAATGCATGGGAACTATAGAGGATGAAATCGAAACTGAAGTCGAGGCAGGCTCTCAACCAGAGAAAACATTTGTAGAGGAAGAAGAAGAAGACTTCAAATGGTCTCCAGCTTCTAAGGATCCATTCGAAATTGATGAGAATGAAGACCTCTGGAAAGAAATGGAGAATACGTTAACTGTACTCGCACTTCTTGAACAGCAGGCATGGTGTTCTTCCTTCTTCTTTAGCGCAACTAAAATCATACCTTTAGACATTGTGACGCACATTTGTAGTGAAATTTATTGAATTTCAGTTTTCAAAATAATTTAATCACTATTTTTTCCTTTGTATTCCCAAAAAGTAGATGTTTGGGTCATCATGCATTAGATGGTCCAGATCATCAAGAATAAAACGGTTCAGAACATATAAGTGAACAGAAATCCTTTCGGGTGAGTGAAAATAAAAAATTGAGTCACTAGACTCAACTACTGGTCGAATGACTAAGACCGAGTGCCCAAACCCAATACACTGAGGCTGAGCTCGCAAGGCTGAGTGATCGGAACTGGGTGATTGATGGTTGAACCCCCAAAGGCGAATACCTAGGGATGAGCAAGTAGTCAGGCACCCTAAAAGGGTGTGGTAAGTATGAATTATGCTGCAAATAAGAAGATGAGCGAAGCAATTAGAAGAAATTGATCGTGAAATCACATACAACATGGAATGCACCAGAGATTTTGTGGCTCAACAAATCCAAGTGCTCAAGGAGCAGATGATGGAAATGCTCAGAGAAACACTGGCGCAAGGGATGGTTCCACCATCCGAACAGGCTGCCCCTGCACACCTGAGAAGATCTAGCGCCAATGCTTGGAGAGCCCTATCACTGACTCCAATTGTGAACAATAACACTTCTTACACCGACAACCCCGGATCAACATCCCTAGTCCGCGACAGTCAAGGACATAACAATAACCCGCGACCTAATCCCCAGAGAATGCTTTCTCCATGCATTTCCGAAGTTGAGGAGCCCAAATGCTTCAAAATCTCATAAGCTTCTTTCGAATGGACAATATGTCTCCTACGGTAAACGTCACGCTGAATAGTCGACTCTTCGTTATGATCTAGAAGGAATCCACCCTTCGGTAGTTCAATAGTCTTTCACTAGGAGCAATTACCTTCTTTATTGAATTCAATAGAATGTTAATAGTGCAGTTCGCGAGTGCACAAAGATTTTAAAAAAACTCCCAAACGCTATTATAGTTGTGTTCCTGCGCACCTTCATGACTCGATTCTAGAAAGAGATGCTAGAGATGTGGGACCTGGAGCCCATGGATCCCCAAGGAGCCCTTGCTCAGGGAATGAGAGAATGTACCTTCTGTTACGCGTGGGGACTGCAACCCCCAAAGACACTAGCAGAGTTGTTGGAAGTTGTCAACAATCACATATCGACAAAAGAGTATAACTCGCTCTCGATCTTGCAAGGATTGAGCGACCGCAACAACATTCATTGAAGAGGAGCTTCCGCATGGGCGAATAGTAACCGAGGTCCGAGTCTCCATCCGTGGCCACCAATGCAACCTTGACACAAGGACAACCATCCTCGCCCTTACTTGAGGGCGTGCATGCCAGAGGGGACAACATGCCCGAACACGAGATGGGCACAAAATCAAGTGTAGCGAGTGGAATGCTATCTCGAGAGGCCACATGATCTGACTCATGAAATCTTTCAACTAACCCCACTGAGGGTTTCGGTGGTAGAAGTAATGGAGGCCATCCAACATAAGGATTTCTTCTGGAAGCCCGCTTCAATGGAAGTTAGAGGATACACCCATGACCCCAAAAAGGTTTGCGCTTACCATAGGGATCTTGGGCACGATATAGAAGTGTTGACACCTTCGAACTATGATCGAAGAGCTAATCAGAGCCAAAAATTGAAAGGAATTCATTGTGCCTGGAGCTATCACTCAACAACAAAGAAAAGCTCTGACAGAAGAAGGCCGCAATGAGCGGGCTCAAGCTCATACCATACACATCGCAGAAGTTGTCTCGAACATCCTTAGAGGGGATGGGATTGAAACCTCCAGGTTGGCGAGTCTGAAGTGGCTTTGCTTAGGCAAGTTGTGTATGGCTGCCTCGTCCTAGTGGCGGGTCGTACGTCATCCCCCCCATTACATTTAGAGAAGAAGACTTGCCCGCCAAGGGTAATCCTTACAACAACACTATCGTCGTCATTGCCCTCATCGAAAAATTTTCAGGTTAACAACACTTTTGTTGATTCAGGGAGCTCGATGAACATTTTGTTCATATCCATCTTCTACAAGATAAATCTAGGAGCCGAGCATTTGAAGACCACATCCGAGCTCTTGTACAAATTCTCTAGAGAAAGGAATGATGCATTGAGAGTCATTGCCCTGCCTATCACATGGGGGATGGTAATAAGCAATTTAATGCACGACCAACTTCATGTTGATCTATTCACCAACAACCTACAACGTCATCTTCGGCCGTGTACTGCTCAACAATTTCAAGGCATTTATCTTTACTTATCATGTGGCAGTAAAATTCCATGGCAACAGAGAGATTATCACCATTAGGAGAGTTCTGGAGCAATCACACGTTTGTTGCCTACGAGCTATCAGAAGCGTGCATCGGAAACCATTCAAAATGGACGCCCAACAAAGATGTAGCCTGGAAACTAGCGAGGCTATTGAAGAAATCCCAATTGTGATTGGTGGGACTGGTATATTTTTTATTAAGCGTGACTTTTGATGTAGATCACGAGGAAGAGCTCATCCAGACACTCTGCGAGTATTGTATAATGTTTGTCTGGACGGTCAAAAAAATGTTGGGAGCCTTCGCCGACGTAGCATGTCGTCGCCTCAATCTCAACCCCCCGGTTCGACCTACCAAAACAAAAAATAATATCATAGGCCCTCACACTGGTGGAACTGATCAAGGAAGAAGTGCAAAATCTGTCGGAGGTTGGTCAAGTAGGTCCAATTCTCGGACTGGGTGGCGAATGTGGTGGTGGTCTGGAAGGTGAACAATGAGTAGCAAATGTGTGTCAAATTCACTAGACTCAATGAAACCTCCCCAAAAGACAACTACCCATGTCGCAAATCGACGCACTCATAGATGCGGCGACCAACCACTCAGTCATGAGCTCTCTCTGAATGTCATCAAATGAAGATTCATTCAGTTGACGCTAAAAAACCATGTTCATCAGTAGAGAGTCTTTTATTATAATGTAATGGTCATCGGGCTTTAAAATATAGGCGCCACTTATCAGAAAATTTTGGATGTAGTTTTTATGAATCAAAGAGGGCAAAATATTAAAGTTTTTCTTGATAATGTGCTGGTTAAAAGTAAAACGCTTGAACAATATATAAGTAGGTTAAAAGAAACATTCAAAACTCTCCAGAAATAAAACATGAAATTAAGCTTGCTCAAATGCACATTTGAGGCAGAAATTGGCAATTTTCTAGGCTACTATTAACCACGGAAGGCAACTCAGAGAAGGTCCAAACACTCCCCCCCTAAATGCCAAAGAATTACCAAAATAGGTCCAAACACTCCCCCCCTAAATGCCAAAGAATTACCAAAATTAATAGGCAGAATCGCATGCTTGAGTTGATTCATCTCCAAGTTTAGGCATCAATGTGTAGCCTTCTTTAAAGTTCTGAGAAATACTAAAAATTCACATGGACAGACGAGTATGAGCAAGCCTTTCAATGACTGAAGCATTCTTTGGCCTCACTATCTTTTGCTTCAAAGCCTAAAACCAAGTGTTGAACTCTCAATCTATGTGGGAGTCGGACCCGATTTGATCAACTTGGTCTTAGTTCGGGGAGAACGGGAACAAAAATTCCCAATCTACCAAATCAACCAAGTTTTGAGAGGAGAAAGCTCAGGTATCCTATTATGGAAAAAATTAATATTTGCTTTAATTGTTTTAGTTTAGAAACTTCACCCATATTTTTAGATGCATTAGGTGCGAGTGATCAATAATCACCCCGCTCAAGTCAGTATTGGCCAAACTCGAGCATTCCGGACGATTCCTCAAGTGGGTAGTTGAACTCAACGAGTTCGACCTATTCATACCCCCAAAATAATAATCAAGTTGGAGGCAGTGGCTAACTTCCTCACAGGTTTTGCTGAGATGGGGCAATCAGAATGATGAGGCAATAACCTAGGACCCAACCTAAACCTTGTGCGTAGATGAAGCATCATATCGAAAGGAACTAGATTGTGACTCGCAGTAACGAGTTTGATCGTACATCGTATCTATCATTCCGTCAAAGTAAAATTTGAAGCAAACAACAACCAGACTGAGTATGAGACTCTAATTATCAGGTTGCGCCAAATGTACAGGATCGGGGTGCAACATCTCTTGGTAAGGTCGGACTTGCAACTAGTGGTCAATTAAGTGAATGGTCAATTTGAAGCAAGGGAAGAGATGATGGCAAAATATCTCGCTAAGACCAAAGTAGAAATAGGGAAAATTGATTATTTTAGAATCAAACACATTCTCTGGGATGACAATCAAGTAGCATATTTTCTCTTCAAATGCAATCAATTGGCCAGTACATTGCCCACAAAAGCTTATATGTTCGATGATGGAAGAAGCGAAAACTATGAAGGTAGCAATCAAAGAGGTGAAGAGTTTGATGGATCCATATGCCCACTTCCTGAAAATTGGAGAACCCTCATCAGGAACAAAAGATTGTAAACGCTTCTGAATCAAAGTCGCACATTACCTCATCTAGGATGGTGAGCTGTTCCTTTAATTGGCAACTTCGTTGTATCGGCGGTGCATATGAGAAAATAAGATGATAGATATTCTCAAAAAAACAGTCAGGTGAGTGTGGAAGCCATTATAGTGTACGAATGCTAGCCAATCAGATACTTCGACAAGGCTACTTTCGGCTGACTCCCAAGAAGGTTGTGGATGATTTCTCAAGGATGTGTGAATATTGCTAGAAATTTGGCCCCATGCAACTCAAACTTTCCCACTGGTTGCAACCCATCACAAGTCCCTGGTTGTTTGTCGTTTTGAGGACTCGGTTTCCTAGGCCCTTTCCCACCTTCCAAGGGACAATGTAAATCCATATTGGTTGCGATTGACAATTTTTTAAAATGGATAGAGTCCAAAGCCTTCACTTGTATTACTGTCGAAGTTTTCCGCAAATTCATTTAGACAGATTTGATTTGTCGATATGGTCTTC